ATCCATCCATCCATCCATCCATCCATCCATCCATCCATCCATCCATCCATCATTTAGCTAAGGTAAAGGTTCCCCCCGCACATATGTGCTAGTCGTTCCTGACTCTAGGGGATGGTGCTCCTCTCCGTTTCAAAGCCGAAGAGCCAGCGCTGTCCGAAGACGTCTCCGGGGTCATGTGGCCAGCATGACTCAACGGCAAAGGCGCACGGAACGCTGTTACCTTCCCATCAAAGGTGGTTCCTATTTTTCTACTAGCATTTTTTATGTGCTTTCGAACTGCTAGGTTGGCAGAAGCTGGGGCAAGTCACGGGAGCTCACTCCGTTACGCGGCGCTAGGGATTCGAACCGCCGAACTGCCGACCTTTCTGATCGTCAAGCTCAGCATCTTAGCCATTGAGCACCGCCTCCCTATCATCTATCTACTTATTCATTAAACTTGCATGCTGCGCACCTCGTTGGCGGCCGCCTTATTTTTCATATCTTAACCAACCTTGAAGTTTCTCAAAACCTCCCGGCTCTCTTTCGGCTGGGAGTAAGGCTTTGGCGTCACCAGAGGCATCGCCACGCAGCCGGAGGGTCTGCTTGAGGAGGGGGAGCTGGTGGACATGCTGGCCTCCGATCCAGTGGTCGGGACGATGGTGGCTTCGAACGTGGCAGTGAATTTCGGGGGCGGAAGCGACTGCTGGCGTAAATATCGGAGGGGGTTGGGGTCCTTGGGTGGGGAGGAGGCATTTGGCTCCACCGAATGGCTTCTTTCCAAAAGTTTTGGCATCCCCAGGCGTTCGAGGACAGCTTCGCTGATGGTGAACCTCTCGATGTAATGCTGGAGAATCCTATCGGCCTCTTCCTGAGACCTGGCGTTCTTATAGGCTTCATGAAGTTCTCGTTCCCGCTTCTCTCTGGTTTTGAGGGTAGCAGAAAACCAAGATGGCGGAGTGTTTATTTATTTATTCATTAAATATATTTTTTATTGTTTACACATAAATATGTTGAATACAGTGTACCGTATTCATAACGTATTTTTTCGGACTATAAGGCGCACTTTCTCTCTCTCCCCCTCCCCTCTCTAAAAGAGGGTGAAAATTTGGGTGCGTCTTATACACCGAGTGTAGCCCCGGCCACCCGCTCTTTGGCCTCTGCCTCCCAGCAATTTGCCTCCTTGCAGCAAACAGCCCGTTTCAGTTTTAGCTTCAGCACAGCCTGATTAGCACAAGCAGCTGATTGTTGGTTGGACCGACCTCCCGACGATCAGCTGTTTCAGGCTGCAGGGATTGCCATTGTCGCCTCCGCGCACCCTATTTTCGGCCTCTGCATCCCATTTTTGGCCTCTGCAGCCCCCGTTTTCGGCCTCCGCACACCCCGTTTTCCGCCCATTCTGGCATCCCATTTAGGTCCTATTTTTTGGCAAAGCGCATGGGCTCAGCCTTCCGTGCACGCTCGCATTTGCGAACCGGTAGGGAAGGTAAGTGAATACCACCCCTGGTCTGCAAGGAAACAACCCAGCTCAGAGAGCACCGAGGAATCCTACAGTCCTCCTCCTCGCACTGATGATGTTACCTAGTTGGGTCATGAAACATCTGTAAAAAAACCACCAAGCTCAGAGAGCACCAAGGACCCCCACAGCTCAACTCTTGAGCTACAAATATTATCTTCGATTGATATCTGGCCCATCATGTCTTTAGCCATGGTTTCTAAATATGCCAGGATTGTCTGGGGTCATTCATACACTCAACCCAACCCCTATTATGACCTTGTGCGCCTTTCGCTACCAGCTTTCGTTTCCTTAAAGTTACGTACTTCTCCTCCACAATCTCTCGGTACGTTTTGATGCTCTTCCGTCTCTCATTGCTCCCCTCTCCTCCAATGAGTAGCTGCTCCATCTTCTTCCTCTCAGCTTCTTTTTTCAGCAAGTCCTGGGAAGCACTCCTCCGGCGGTTTTTCCACCGGGCTAAATCCTACATGAGATCACAGGGTGAAGGAAGGCAAACCAAGAATGAAGATTTTACAGAGCAGGTAGCTCATAAGCTCATTCTGAGGTTCCCAACCTTTCCAGCTTGGCGGCCGGAGGTGTGGTATTCAGCCGGTACGGACTGGTTCAGGTGAACTGGTAGTGGTAACCTGCGGCGTGGGCTCTATGCCGTCCTATTTAGCCCCGTTTTCGAAGTAAAAGTCACGGGAGCTCACTCCATTACGCGATGCTAGGGATTCGAACCGCCGAACTGCCGACCTTTCGATCTACAAGCTCAGAGCCTTAGCCACTGAGCCACCGCGTCTCTTATTTTACCTTTAGCAATAGCAATAGCAATAGCAGTAGACTTATATACCGCTTCATAGGGCTTTCAGCCCTCTCTAAGCGGTTTACAGAGAGTCAGCATATTG